ATGTCACTTCGAGTCAATACATAATTTTAAAAAATATATTGTTTTGCTTCTGAAGTCATTATTGAATTTTATGCTCGGTCGAATATAATTACGACTGGCGTCAGGCAAAACGCACAGAGCGAATGTTATTTTTCGCTAAACAAAAGAGGTAAAAATATATATTATTATACTATTATAATCAACACAATTTGTTTTCGAAAAACCGCCTCAGTGCAAGTCGGTGAAATTGGTCAATTCCGGATTTAACGACGTGCCGTTAAACATGTACGCCGCATGTTATGGTGCATATGTACTATGTGCACACAATCTTAGTCAGAATTTTTTTTTTTCTTACAACGTATGTAATAATAATAAAGATCGCTTGTCACTCATCTGTGGCAAAAGAGTGGTCGTAAAAAGTCGTGTGAACAAAATCGTAAAATAATTATTTTTTTTTCATTGTAAAAAAAAAAAAAAAAAATTATATTAGATTCGATTAAGCTGTGTATAAGTTTCAACCGTTTCAATCACTGTAATTATATACTCGAGACTATAATATTAAATTATTTTACAGATGTATCCGGTGGTTTAATCATATCGCTACTTTCACGATGATTGCAGATACAAATATAAATGCAACAATAATATTGTGTTGCTTACAAAAAAAATGTACAATATTAACTCGTTCGTCAATCAACCCCTTTCCAGTTTAAAGATGTTGTAAATTTTAAACTGTCAACAAAACAACGAAAAATCACAAATCTACGCGAATAACGTTTATCCGATTTTTTTCAGGTGACATCACCACTAAATTATAAGACAATTCATTGTAAAACTAATTATATTTTGGTTCTTATTAATAAATTTTAATTTCCTAAATCATACCATTATTAATATAATACATTAATACGTATATTAAATGTATATAATAATATTATTATCACTGAAAAAAAATTAATTTTAATTAATCAGGCTAAGTTATTACTAATAATACATAACACGGTGTGCTTAAATTATTCATCGGAATATCCATACATTACTTGACTAATGCGTACTTGATCGGCAGAGCAAAATATCATATTATTATATTAGTCATTGACCAGACGATACGATCATTATTCATTACCAATAACGCGATAATATTATATTGTAATCAAGATTACTCTGAATATGAGTAGGTACCAAACGTAATATTATTGCCGAACTATTATCAATATCATAGTCATATTAATAATAGACATGTCATTTTGTGTGGACACAGTTTAGCCGGATCGGCGTATTGTTAGATTTAATGTTATAACGAAGATAATAATATGTGTTTATTGCTGATTGTTCGTTATAATTTCGTTCTGCTAGTCTGGCTCGTTTGATTATTAAGAATATGGTTCATGCTATCCAAAAAACCGTTTATAATTTTAAAGGTTATAGCAATAGCAGTAAGTTAAAGGTCAAATAGTTTTGTCGTATACGAAATTAATGACGATAAGATTTATTTCTTGCACAGTCTGCTTTTAATCTTTAATACTATGTATGTAGTCACGGCGGATTGCCATTATCAATTTCATATTTCAAATCCAATTCCTAAAACCGTGCCACTGAAGCGTTGTGGCAGGCATTACATTGTTGTCGTGTGTTCGACCACTAATACTACAACTGACGGATAACAGACATAAAAAAAAATATAATTTTCCCGACACGCGTCTGCGTTCGGAATACAAAAGTTAATAACAATTATTTATCGAGAGAGAGAAATAAAAAGGGTAGACCGGTTTAAACACGAAGTAAGGGGATGTCGTGATATTGCACCTGGCCTTATAACAAATAATCTGACTATATGTAATATATTCATCGTACGTAATGTTGCGTCGGAGCAGAGTTTGTGAGGGGAAACACAGCCGAGAGGCCGGTACGCGTCTCTATTGTGTGAACGCACAAAACGAAACGTCTACCGTGCGTACGTTTCATATAAGTTGTAAGTAGGTAGTCAAACGTAGTAAATTTAAAGTAAAACGTTTAAAAAATATTTCAAACCGAAATCGAACAGTATTGGGCCGCGTGCAGCATTCCGGAACCGCACTATAATTATTGTTAACGAATAACGATGCAAGTCGGTAATGACTATTAATTTAGTTACCGTACGTTTTACGCGCGAGAGTAAAACCCAGTGAGATCTCTCCCGTACGTAGTTCAAGTCGTGTCTCCCATCATATTCCGTAGCTCGTGCGGCCTGTCGCATATAGGTAAAATACGAAAACTATATAAGTGTATTGCGCGTGTATACTAAAAAATGGTGAAACGACTTGTAAAAACGTCTGACGTGAGGGGAGGATGAAAAATAACAGACCATACTGTTAAAATTGTTTTTTTGAGAAGCATGTATAATTTATTTTAACATATTAACATTATTAACACTGTGATGCGTTTATCATTGTTGGACGTATTATTGTTTTTCACTTAGTGGCTATTGCCTCATAGATAATAAATAATGTTTAAAAAATATTTCTTGGGTCAAGAGTATATACGACTTAAGTCCTCGGTCGAGCCAGTGGACACTAATCGCTTAAAGAAAAACCAAACACTATACTGTGGTATAAGACTGTTATTTCGGAATGCACTACGATATTCTGAGATTTACGAACGCATTATGTTGTTTTTAATAATATAATATGTGTAGCTGAATGCAACGATTCAAATTAAATCGTTTAATTATACCAAAAACCGGTTCATCGAGTAATTTATTAGTTGGTTACCGTTGTTTACGATTAAAGAATTTATCTATTAGATTCTACATAGGTGCCATTTTTTTTCTTTCGTTTTGTATTAAATATTACACTTTTTTATATTGTTCAATAAGTGTACTCAAATAACTACAAGTATGCTGATATCTGACTTTAATAATAATTACGTACATAGACTAAATAATTATGCGCGGTACAGTGCTCACTCATTTGATTCACTCGACGAATTAACACATGATTAAAACGATATTGTTATATTGACCAAAATATATAACGCTTCATTTCGTTAGATTTGTCAGACGAAACAATTTCAAATGTTTGAAATTAGGTGGTTATTGAATTAAAATCTTATGGCGTCTGTCAAAGTATCTATTTGATTTAAAAACTTTCCGCGAGTAATTGTAAAGAAATGGGATTTGAAATCAGAAAGCGCCGTTTAGTGACGAATATATCACATTAAAATATTCATTTGAAATTTTTTTTTTTTTTTATATAACAAGCTCATGAATATTTTATCGACGAAAAATTGTATTTATGATTTTGTTTCACTGTTATCCAGCTATTATTACCTTGGTTAGGTATTCGGAACTCGACGACTCAAACGTGATACTATTTGATTTTTCAAAATTTGTCATATAAATATCAAATTTTGTTATTTTATCGATTATAATATTACAGATATGAAGTATCTATAGGTGATATATATATATATATATATATATATATATATATATATATATATATAGATACGCCGGGTAGCTTGCTCCAGTACTGCAGGTAAAATATAATATGAAAACATATGAAGCGTTGGTAGCGTAGTAGGCCACACCGTCGACAAAAATAATATTTAAGCCACGTCGTAATATTTTTATCTATCAATACTCAGGCAACGACAACGACGACGACGACGATTATTATTACAAGTCGACGAACCGCACACGTGTAATGGGTTCTCTTATTATAATTCGTAACACTGCATGTGCGCGTACACTACTTGTACATAAGATGCACGTCTCTTTCATCCCACGAGTTAAATAATATAACAACAACAACAACAACAACAACAACAACAACACTATAACTAAATTATACGTATTATATCGCGACACATTGCAGACGATGCGTGTCGTAATTCGCCTGGCGCGCATTTGTCCTGCGGGGGAGGCCCGGCAACTTACTGTGTTTTAATAATGACGACGATGATAATAATATTGTAGCATTATGACACGACAATGCGACGCAGCGAGACGAGTACCGAGTTTGGAGGACGTCTCTTGTCGGTGACCGGTCGTCGAGTACAAAACGAGATAAAGAACGAAACAATACGATAATTTGATCCGGCCGACGTATGCGCGCCAACAAGCCGACGACTCAGACACCCCATCGGTTCTGTGTACGTGACACCCCCTAAAAACGATGACCCGCGGAAGGGGCGCACTTTAGGGGTAGTTTTCCTGATTCGAATGTTTCCCAAACGCCGCACTTATATTAATATACTTATATACAACAATAAAATTTTCATAATCATTCATAGCTGTCTTATATAGGGTTGAGGCGACAGATTTAAGTTATTCGCGTCGCATTAATGCATTTATGGTAGAAAATGTTACACGTAAACATTCACACGTTAAAGAAAAATCTCACTCTAACCGCTGATGCACGCGCAGGTATGCAAATGCATTTTTATCGTCTTGCTAAAGAAATAAACGCGACATTGTCGAAGACGAGATGGTTTATGCGGGAAAGAACGCGACGTATTTAAATTCGAGTGAAAACGCGGACGAGTCTATGACGTAAAAAATAAAATAAACGTATTGCACATGATAAATGCCATCATAATACACCCGTTTTACCGAGGGTACAATAAAGCGTTTCGGAGGGAGGGAGGGAGACGTTTTCCATATGGACACGTCGTCGTGACATTCTGCGGGGTCTTTCGGTGCAAAAATCACATTTCCACACGATTACGCGTGTTTTCGGGACATCGTTAGATTATTTTCGTAAGATACGTCGGTCGCCACCACTAGTCGCCGTCGCCACCACCCGACGAACAGCGGACCACGTGCGCCACACCACCGGACGAGACGAGTGGTGCGCGCGGCCGCTCGAAAAACGGATCGCCGCCGCAGCCGCAGCCGCGCCGTCATCCTCGTCGGGGCTGAGCGCGGTGGGGGTCGACGCCGCCGTTGCAACCGGTGCGGTGTACGCGTCGTCGGTTCGCGCGCGCCAGTCGTTGTGTTACGCGCGCGACAGTGTCTACGCGTGTTCTGTGTGCATTATCTCCTTGTTTCCTCGTGCCGGTGCGTGCGGCCGCGCTAACGAACGTTTCACGTTTATTCGCGTTCTCTGTACTCGGCGGAAGGCGGACGGAAACAGTTCCGTAGCCCAATCTCGCCATGATCGGCGTGTTCAGCGCGGTCGTCAGCCAGTCCCGGCTCACCCGGATCAGGCTGGTGACCATCGACAACCCGGCGTTCCGCGTCCACTACCGGCTGACGTTCGCCATACTGCTGGCGTGCACCACGCTGGTGTGCAGTCGCCAGTACATCGGCGAGCACATCCGGTGCATCGCTTCCGGCGTGCCCATCAACGTCGTCAACACGTTTTGCTTCTTCACCGCCACGTACACGCTGCCGGACACCAACCACTCGGCACACCCGGGGGTCGGTCCCGTGCAGTGGGACTCGCGCTCCGTCCGCCATTCGTACTACCAGTGGGTGCCGTTCGTGCTGTTCGGACAGGCGCTGCTGTTCTACCTGCCTCACCTCATGTGGCGCTCGTACGAGGCGGGCACCATCGCACTGCTCGTCAACGGGTTGCAAAGGCTGTACCTGAAGGCGGACGGTGACCAAGACGTGGCGGTGCCGGGTGCACCGAACATACCGTCCGAGGCGACCAGGTGGGCCAAAATGCGAGAGGTCATGAACCACCTGGACACGGTCACCCGGTTCCGGTTGAACCGCAACTGGGCCGCGGTGCTTATCGGGTGCGAGGTGATCAATCTGGTCAACGTCTTGTTCCAGATGAAGCTCATGGACAAATTCCTGGGCGGCCAGTTCTACGGGTACGGGCTGCATGCGTTCGACGACGACAGCAAGCTGTTTGATCGGGTGTTCCCCAAGATGACCAAGTGCGACTTTCACAAGTTCGGTCCGTCCGGCACCATGCAGACGCACGACGCCATGTGTGTGATGGCGCTCAACATCATCAACGAGAAGATCTACGTCGTCCTGTGGTTCTGGTTCGTGTTCGTCTTGGTGCCCGTCAGCGTGGCCGCGCTCGTGTGGCGTGGCTTCCAGTACGCGCTCCACTCGCGCGAGTCTTTCAATCGGCTGTTGCTGCGTGAGTCGTCTCCGGGCACCCGCCTCGACCCCGTCGACCTGGCCATCATCGCCAGGCAGACCACGTACTCCGACTGGCTGTTCATGTACTACCTGTCCGGCAACATGGACGGCGCCGTCTTCCGGGACCTGTTGCACAGCTTCGCCACCGGACTCCGGAAAGAACCGGGTTCGCAAGACAGCGACGACGACGACACGGCGCCGCTGGGCAAGGCCATCTGATCGACACCACTGCCATGTCAACACCACCCCCGCCACGCGCACGACGATCATATAACTTATAATTGAATACGATACTATTAATATATATTTCATGTACCATATATTATTATTATACGTAAGACGTTGTCCCGCAAATGTCGAGTCGATTTTGGCGTTAGTCGAGTCGTTAGGCGTCGTCCCTCGTCTCGTTTTCTCAAAGAACCAGTCGTGTGCACGTGCGCGCCCTCGCGTACGTTTTTCCATTCTACACCCACTACCCCCTCCCTCACTACAGTCTGTGGTTAGTCTACATTTTTCAATGTCATCTGCGCCCACCACCCCAAAATTCATCCTACCCCATAACCCTTGCCGTAATCATTTGGGGATAAATTTTATTACATACTTAATGTAACATATTATTATTATTATTTGTAATGTTACGATGTTACTGATGTTTGTCTGACAATCGTTCTAACCTGCCAAATTACATTTTTTTATTGTATCCTTGTAATTTTTTTCGAATTTATGCATTTGAGTTCAAAATTAAACCAATAAAAAACTTATGTCACGTGCGCACGTGTACGGTACGACAATAGTTGGAAAAAAAATAGTAAAATAATAATGGCAATTAAATTTTTATCATTCATGTACTTAATGTATGTAATAGACAACCGATTGAAGGTATATAGGTACATGCTTCGAAGGTCGTCTTTAAACATATTATAATATATTTATAATTTATTAAATATATGCGTGTAGGTTATGCATATATATTATTATTATATTTGTAATATTATAATATAAAATGGACTTTATTCTCATGATGATGACTTGTATATAATATATGTAAAAGCTCTGTATGTCTCACTATTATTATTATAATTTTTTTTTTCTAATATTTTTTAAGTACATAAATTTTATTATAATATATTTTAATTAAAGAAAAATTATATCTCAAAAAAAAAAAAAAATATCAACATTTTGAAATTTTGAACGAAATACATTATAAATTATTACATTATATTATGTATATCATGTGCGTCATAAAATTTTTAATGCTAATTAATATAATAATATTAATATGTTTTGTTCTCTATAAAAATTATTTATATATTATATTATAATAATTGCTGACATGGTTACACATATCACGTTTCGTGATAAGCTATTCCAATGATTATTGTTTCGATATCATCGTTGTACAGACTTGCACAATGTTTTAATGACATCAATTATTGTACAGTGTTTGTGAGTACATACGGCGTACTCGTATACACAACTGCGTATAATGTTCACGTATTGGAACGACTGGGATACGATTCAAGTGGTAGTAAAAAATAGAATACTTCGTTCGCATATATACGCAATAATTATAATAATTGTACACTGTACAAGTTATTACTTACTATATCTATTAAAATGGTACGGACGAATATTCTCCAACATTTTCAACTTGTGATTATAATCGTGTAACTTTTCGTTCAACGTACGATGACTATAAATATTGAGTCGATGGTCCGTGTTTGTTTTGTAGTTGTCGTTTTAAAAAACGACTGCACATAAAGACTACAGCATCCCCTAAAGTCCAAACCTCTGAGTTTTTAATAGTATTTTTAAGCGTTATTCTACAGTCAGCTGTTGTGTTTACTTGTTGTCGTGAGATAATGAACACGGATAAATATTTTCCCTTGAACAGTATCATGTTTACGTCGTACTCCGGGAATTAAATGTACCTTTATAATGTCTCGGTATTTATCAAAATTTATCAATCATAAAACATTAGCTTTAACTGCGCCCACGTCGAGCAGACTCGATAGGATGGGCTTAGATAAAAAAAAATAAAAATAAAAATATTATCTCTATCACTGTGTCTACCATGCGTACGAGTGTACGACTAATGCCGAGTTGCAGTCATGTAAACAAACTCGCCACCGATGCTGCAACAATCACATTTTATTAAATATTTTTATGATATTTATTATTTATGTCTAGTCACGACGATCGTTTCTTGTATACGAAGTTTCTGGTATTATATCAACGCGTATTATACTAGTACGATATATTATATTAGTGGGATATAATATTATTACACGGGTACGTCAACCGAATCCAGTACAACATTACGATGATAATCGTACTCTAGAAGAGAACCGCACGACGATGACATTTAAAAACCCACAATAGCGGTTGACTAATAGTCCGGACGTCGATGTGACATGTTCCAGTCGTATTTTTTTTCTATCTTTGACCAAAAATAAACAACATGTTTGATGAACAAAATTAATACCAATGGAGGTCTACTTCTAGGCTGCTCGATATTTAAATTTATCAATGAGGTGTATGATAACTATGTAACTATCTATCTATGATTTTGCTGTAATACTATAACATGATGTGCATTGTGTATATTATAATCAACAACATAATTCAACGATTGTACAAATAATGGTATAGACTAAATAGACGCCTAAACTTAAATAAAATGCAGTTTTCCTTGACATTCTATAATGCAAAAGATGTATTTTAAATTTTTCTAATAAATATTATAACTATAAGAATAAAAACAGTATATAAAACAGAAAAAAAAAAATTATAGTACAAAAAATGTCGAATAATATAATAATACAAAAAGAATGTCCCTATTCAATTTAAAAAGTAACACATATGGTAAAATATATTTTAATTGATTATTAATTAAAATCGTAACTTACTGATAAATGATAATATTAATATTTTTAAGCTCAAAATAAACCTATAGTTATATTACTTTTCTTTTATTTCGCATAAAGTGAAAGACATTATAAAAGTAAAAAAAAATGTCTGTAAAAATTAGTATTGTTAAGCAAATTGCATAATACTCTAGAGTTGGTTTTCTATTGTGTCCTAAACTTCCTTACCTCTTCATTTTTTCCGTAAAATTCTTACATAATACATTTTGACGTGAATGACAAATTAATTTTTTGTGCAAATTAATCTTACAATCAAATCATTTTTTTTTCATTTTGCCCCCGTATAACCTGCAACTTAACAAAATGCATTATCACTTATACATGGAATACGAAAAGATATTTATGCCCATGATGAAAATAATAATATTTGTTTACTATTTACTTTATAAAATTAGGTTTCGATCCAAAGTTTATATGTAAGTGAATCATCGATGCGTGGCATATCGAATATCATCATAATATGATTATAATATACCTATTAACATTATATAATAGGTACACCGCATATGTAAATAACAGGTATAATATTCGCTATACAGCGACTACCATAAAAAGTAAATTAATTTGTGGGTGAACGCTGGAAATGAAGACATGATTATAATAATGTATTATTTTATAATTTAGTTGACTGACATAAAACTGCAGTGTATTTAAATGTATAATAATAATAGTGTAGTTAATTTCACGTTTAGTGTCTATACTCTATAGTCTAAAGTGTATACGTCATATTTCTATAGAATCCTTATTCTAAGGTTCCGACTGCATGACATTCGAAGATGAAATTTAGATATTCGATTTTGACAACCTTACCTTTATTTTATTATAATGTTATTCATCTATTTTTCATTCTTCATGACACATACCAATATTACTATAATAACGTATTTTTAAAGATTTTTACAACATTATTACTATTTCTATTTTTCTCGGTCTACATAATAATATACTCATATTATCTTCCTCCGTGATATCCAATACCATAGTCGCAATTCGTTAATGGATTTTACTTGAGAATGTTAAGCATTCCCTCCATTTATTTTAAAATTAGCACCCTTATGGGTAATTAATTTTATTTCTTATATTGTATTATAAAATTAATACAGTACTAATATTACTAATTCATTATTAAATATATAATTTATTGTGCGCTTAAGGGTAGAATAGGAGGAGCGAAGTTACTGATTATATAATCCATGATCATAAGACTAACCATACAAATAGTTGACATCAGCATCCTCAGTTATTTTTATTAAAATTGCGTTTATGTTTATGTTAATTATTGTAGACTGCAATCGTTATTATACATTGTGGCCGTATGTGCTTATGTGATGCTTATGGTCATATAATATGCACAATAACCTTAAGACGTAGGATAGTGTCGCGTAAACAATTTTCGCAACATATATAACAGCTTATATAAATAATTAAATATTACAGTCAAAACAAAATTCTGATACAGTTTTGTTTTATTATTTTTTTTTTTTTTTTTGCTTATTTAGAGTATGGAAAAAAAATGCAAATTCAACATTCTATTAAAATATGTATACACCCTGCAGCTACAATATTGTGCATAAATTATTATCTGTATAACGCGTGTACAATAATATTATTAAATAATTATGCCTTTAAAATAAGTGCCGTCACCACGACGAACACTAATAGTTCTTAGGCGGAGTGAAATAATATATTGAAATCGAGTGCTCAATAGTTCAATATAATATTAATTAATAATTGATACCTTAATAATAATATTCTATCAAAAAGAATTGCATAGGTATTTGGCTTTGCAGTGTACTCAGAATTAAACCCGCGAGCGTCCTCCTGTTGTTGTTTGTCTTACGACCCGCGATGAGAGGTAAATAATTGAAGACTGGTAGAGAGACGGACAAAGGATTTAAGGGAAAAAAATGTTCATACGTACTCATAATATAATATAAAATATATAATATCTACTACCTACACCCGTCTTTATTATCTGTATACATACGTTTTGACTGCGCCATGATGTTGTTTTATGTAATTTTGCGCTGACAATTCATTTATCTCTGAAGCTATACATCAGAACGGGGAAGAAATAACTATTCATAACGATATAAGCTTTGTTAATGAAAAAAATTAATACCATGAGTTTGAGTCTCGAATAGTACATTCTCTTATAAAAACAATACGATACACACAACATCTTTATTGTTATTATTATTATTATTATTATTATTATTTTTATTTTTTTATTTGATTCAACCGGTTCGTAACTCGTAAATTCATGCATCTAAGTCTAGTATATAGTATTAAGAGTATAATATAGTATTATATTATACATTTAATATACTAAGCGTCGTGTTTCTAATCTAGTCAGTAATATACAAAGATCGACATAATAATACAATGCCAGATAAGTATTTAAATATAATATTGTATTAGATAAAAATATTTAAATACTGTCCTGAAATACTAAAACAAAATATGCGATGTCATCTAAGTAAATAACGCTGAGCTCGATAATGATAACGAACGTGTTATTATAATAAACGATTGAGAAAGTCACTAGCGCGTAAATTATTATTTGCTATACACTATTTTTACCCAACACCTGGAAACATCGTACAAAGGATCCCGATTGAATCGTTTCCGTTCGTGAAAGCCTTAAAGTTTTCGGTGGTTAGTGCCAGTATAGATATTAGATATATTATATGAACGTAATATTATAATATTATTAGCGATATGGAAAAAAAGGTTTCGTCAAAATATTAAGGTTTTCAGTATGATTTTCAAAATATTTCCTAATTTTATGTAAGTAGATATAATGAAATGATAATTTTGTGATTTTATGATAATAAAGAATTAAGGTTGACTTAATTAAAACGTTTACCAAAAAAAAATTGAACCATGCACTGAAAATAGTACCTACATATA